GAAACATTGTCAGGGGAACAAGTATTGGCCAAAGTCTTGGGACAGGCAAGACAAGTTTGGCAAAGGCTTGACGAGACAGTGCGGGCAAGTTTGGGCGGCATGGCACAGCATGCGCGCCAAAGACAAAGGTACGGGCAGTTCAGATTGTGGGAGCGCCAAGTACAAGCTAAGCTAAATTGCGGAGGCACGGAATGATGGCAAAGGGTTTCAATAGCTAAGGCAAAGCTATGTGAGACAACATACAAATAATGGCATGGGTGAAACAAGTGTTGACAAATACAAGGCAGAAATGCGGCTAAGGCAATGTGCGGGCGACAAAGAGTGTCGGGCGTGTACGGTAAAATCATGGGCAGCAGGTTGCGGACAAAGGCATTGGCGCGGAGCAATGTCAAAATCACCCAAGGCTGGGCGCAATGCCAGCCTTGGGCGTACAATAGCTGACCAACAAAAGGGGCACATGCAGTGCACTTGCCAAAGCAGTGGGCCGTTGTATTTTTGTAATGACTTGTACCTATGTCTGTTTAATACTTGTATGTAATATCATTTCGTGTGGAAAAATAGCCTAAGTAGTTGGGGATGTCAACTACAAGTTAGGACAGATTTAGCAAAACTGTGTACAAGGCAGGTTTCAGTGGAAGGTGGGACCAGTGCCCCACCAAAGAGCTGAGTGCTCCACAAAATAGGGCCAAGTGCTCCACAATGCATGCTGATGAAGGCCATTTCGTGGGTAATGCCCCATTAAGTGGTTAAGTGCTGATTTAGTGCTTGAAGTGGAACAAGCACTATAATGGATTGTCCCTTTGTAATGTTGTCCCTTCAAATCTGCCAGTGGCAGCACCTATACTTATAAATAGGTGAGAATTTCGTGTGGAATTCAGGAGGAGGAAGAAGATAGAAGAGGGTCTTCAAAAGAAGATTAGTGTATTCAAAAGGAAGTTCTGTTGTGAGACTTCCAAGTGGGAAACAAGAGAGAAACGTGAAGGTTTCTAATTGTTTCAAACGGGGGCTAAGGCTGGGTATTGGGCAGGTCTTAGTGTGCAAGATCGACTTGTGATCTTTGCTGGTCGAAGTGGGCTGTGAAGAATTGTGTTCATAGTAAAGTGGGAAACAAGAAAGAAACATGAGGGTTTCTGAGTATTTCAGAAGTGGGCTAAGGCTAGGCATTTGGGCAGGTCTTAGTGTGACAAGATCGACTTGTGATCTTGGCTGGTCGAAGTGGGCTGTGAAGAATTGTGTTCATAGTAAAGTGGGAAACAAGAAAGAAACATGAGGGTTTCTGAGTATTTCAGAAGTGGGCTAAGGCTAGGCATTTGGGCAGGTCTTAGTGTGACAAGATCGACTTGTGATCTTGGCTGGTCGAAGTGGGCTGTGAACGACTTATGTTCATAGCAAAGTAAGGGGTCCTTTGTATATTTTCATAGTAATACAAAGGTTAGAATTTTTTCGTACTTGATTGTGTTCTCTTTATGTTGTTGCCGAATTTTGTTCAAGGCTGAACTTGTTGAAAAGTTGGCTAAGTGTTGGAAAAGGCTGAGTAACTTGAGTGTCAAGTTGCTGTCGCGCAGTGTCAATTAGGCGCGAAAAATTAGCCCAAATTGACCCCGCGACAACTGGTATCAGAGCTACCCTGATAAACTAATATCAGAGTAGATCAAAGTTCGTGACAGTGGTAAGACGATCAGTAGCAGATTTCGTGTTACTGTTTGACAACATGGCTGGTGGCACAAATGCTGAACTGCGCCAAAGAGTGGAACAGTTGGAAGCGCTTGTTGGGCAGGCTCTTGAAATGGGTTCCGATTCTTCTGTTCTTGCTAGAATGGCCCGTCTAGAGGCAGATTATGCGGCGAGATATAAGACTACGCTGGCAGAAATGGCCTCGGTATGCAAGGATGAGGAAAAATTGCGCGAGGAGGTGGTTCAACTTTGAAGGGCATTACAAAATAATGCCCCTAGAAACAATGATCGCACCAAAGTAAGGATCCCGGAGCCAAAGGCTTATGGCGGTGCAAGAAGTGCCAAAGAACTGGAAAATTTCTTATGGGATATGGAGCAGTATTTCCTGGCTACTCGTGTGCCGAATGATTAAAAAGTGACCATCACACCGATGTATTTGACGGATGATGCAAAGGTGTGGTGGCGTACACGAGTAGTAGAAGCGGAAAGTGCTGGGCTGCCCAAGATTGAAACTTGGGAGGCGTTGAAGAAGGAATTAAAATCCCAATTCCTTCCAACCAACTCGTCGTCGGTAGCGAGAGATGGACTGCGCCACTTGAAACAAAGTGGCACGGTAAGGGAGTATGTCAAGGAATTTTCATCCTTGATGCTCAATGTAAGTAACATGGCAGAAGAAGACAAGCTGCATTACTTCATGAGCGGGTTGAAGGGCTGGGCGCAATTGACCCTGCTGAGTCTTCGCATTCAAAGTCCGACGGAAGGAAGGACAAGGGAAAGGAATGGAAGAAAAGTGGGAAAGGCCAAGCTGCCGAAGACGTGGGTCTTGCCAAGAATGGAAGGCAGACAGAGACTTCCAAGGGCAAGGACAGAAGCGGCAAATTCAGTGGCTGCTTCACTTGTTAGGGTCCGCACTTGAAGAGGGACTGTCCGGTGCAGGCTAGGGTGAATGTTATGCTGGCTGCGGAGAGACATGAACAAGTGGCAGAGGCAAATGCCATTGTGGCAAATGTGAATGCACCTCCAGGGGACTTGTATGTCAACAACCCCTTGGGGTTGATTCGCTAAGTCAGAACGACAAGGACGTCGATTTCAAAGGGTGCAGGTGGTTTGTTAGGACCCAAATCTTTGTCATCAGACATGGCGCGGCTGTGGCAAGGGTTGGGGCGTGATGGTATTGCCATTGGCCTATGCGGGAGTGAAATGATCATGCGGGACAATGGACGAGAAACATTGTCAGGGGAACAAGTATTGGCCAAAGTCTTGGGACAGGCAAGACAAGTTTGGCAAAGGCTTGATGAGGCAGTGCAGGCAAGTTTGGGCGGCATGGCACGGCATGCGCGCCAAAGACAAAGGTACGGGCAGTTCAAATTGTGGGAGCGACAAGTACAAGCTAAGCTAAATTGCGGAGGCAAGGAATGATGGCAAAGGGTTTCAATAGCTAAGGCAAAGCTATGTGAGACAAAATACAAGTAATGGCATGGGTGAAACAAGTGTTGACAAATACAAGGCAGAAATGCGGCTAAGGCAATGTGCGGGCGACAAAGAGTGTCGGGTGTGTACGGTAAAATCATGGGCAGCAGGTTGCGCATAAAGGCATTGGCGCGGAGCAATGTCAAAATCACCCAAGGCTGGGCGCAATGCCAGCCTTGGGCGTGCAATAGCTGACCAACAAAAGGGGCACATGCAGTGCACTTGCCAAAGCAGTGGGCCGTTGTATTTTTGTAATGACTTGTACCTATGTCTGTTTAATACTTGTATGTAATATCATTTCGTGTGGAAAAATAGCCTAAGTATTTGGGGATGTCAACTACAAGTTAGGACAGATTTAGCAAAGCTGTGTACAAGGCAGGTTTCAGTGAAAGGTGGGACCAGTGCTCCACCAAAGAGCTGAGTGCTCCACAAAACAGGGCCAAGTGCTCCACAATGCATGTTGATGAAGGCCATTTCATGGGTAATGCCCCATTAAGTGGTTAAGTGCTTATTTAGTGCTTGAAATAGAACAAGCACTATAATGGATTGTCCCTTTGTAATGTTGTCCCTTCAAATCTGCCAGTGGCAGCACCTATACTTATAAATTGGTGGGAATTTCGTGTGGAATTCAGGAGGAGGAAGAAGAGAGAAGAGGGTCTTCAAAAGAAGAAGAGTGTCTTCAACAGGAAGTTCTGTTGTGAGACTTCCAAGTAGGAAATAAGAGAGAAACGTGAGGGTTTCTAATTGTTTCAAACGGGGGCTAAGGCTGGGCATTGGGCAGGTCTTAGTGTGCAAGATCGACTTGTGATCTTTGTTGGTCAAAGTGGGCTGTGAACGAATTGTGTTCATAGTAAAGTGGGAAACAAGAAAGAAACGTGAGGGTTTCTGAGTGTTTCAGAAGTAGGCTAAGGCTAGGCATTTGGGCAGGTCTTAGTGTGACAAGATCGACTTGTGATCTTGGCTGGTCGAAGTGGGCTGTGAACGACTTCTGTTCATAGCAAAGTGAGGGGTCCTTTGTATATTTTCATATTAATACAAAGGTTGGGATTTTCCCGTACTTGATTGTGTTCTCTTTATGTTGCAGCCGAATTTTGTTCAAGGCCGAACTTGTTGAAAAGTTGGCTAAGTGTTGGAAAAGGCTGAGTAACTTGAGTGTCAAGTTGCTGCTGCACAGTGTCAATTAGGCGCAAAAAATTGGCCCAAATTGACCCCGTGACAACTGGTATCAGAGACCTTGTGCCACTGATACATGTATGCCATCGCCGAATGCGTGCCATAATGGCATATTATTGACGTCCTCGTGCCATTGATACATGCCTATTATGATCGGTTGTGGGCCATAGTGGTCTGCAACGGCCGGCCTCCTATCATAGTGGCCTACCATAGTCGACCTCGTGCATAGTGGTCTGCCACGGCCGACCTCCTACCATGGACACTTGTATGCCAAGGCTGACCTCGGGCCATAATTGCCTACCACGACCAACTTGTGCCTGTAAATGCCTAAATTTTATTTTATTTTTCTCTCCTACATTATATTCTTTAGGTTTATTGTGTTTATTTGTAGATTTTAGAATTTTATTATATTTAATATTTGATAAGGGGGGTTAAGGGATTGCTCTTGCCATTTTAAAGACGTAATTGGCCAAAATTTAGACCAAAATCGGTAGCCCCAGGACCTGGTCCAGATGGGGTGGCCTAGAAGACGTCTAAAACGACGTTATTTTGGTTAAGTGGTTGAGATTCAATTTCATCCACCCATCTTCATTTGATCTGATGGCCATCATTTGATCTCCACTCCAGGTATTTAAGTCTCATGGAGTCCGAATTTTGCCCCCCATTTCTCCTTTACTGTTCCTTTCTCCTCTATTTCTTTACTCTCTCGTCTCTCTCATCCCCTCTGCTAGTTTGCGCACTGACGCCGTCCTTCGCCGGTCGAAAATCTCCACCACTGGTCGGCCGTTATCCAAACTCCACAAACAACCTTACACCAGTCTTCTTCTCTTTCTCACATCTACCTCAATCCACGTCTCAAATCCTCAGAATCTCCATCAATCTTTACCAATTTGGCCTTGACTGAAACTCTAGCCGCCCAAAATTTTCTTTTTTTTCTTTCTCAAATTCGTGACAAACCAGTCATCCCCAACACAAAAATCTCACATAAACATGTAGATATACTTGAGATCCATACTTCTCTTTTAATTTCATCCATAAATCTGATCTCTGCTACTGCCAACTAGCAACCTCCACCTCCATGACCTTTAACCATCAGAAACTCACTCGGCCTTCTATTTTAAGTTGTGTACGATCTCGGACACCCTTTTTCTTTTGGTATGGCGCACAAATTAATTTCCGATGTGCAGAATTTGTTGAACCAACACATGCCCTTAAGACAAAAGGTGCTCGAAGGTCAATTGACTGGCCATTTGGCACCCCGTTATTGCACCGAGGATTCGAGGTTAAAGTTCTGAGGTAGGTTCTCGAACGAAAGTGATACCGTAATTCCTTGTTCCCTTTTTTGCTCATTACTAGCAGTAGATTTACGCTTGATTTTGTCAATAATCAATGTTCGTAGCTTAGTCAGTTGAAAACGGTCAGTTTAGATTTTAAGTTTGTTTCGGTTTTTGTATTGCTTTGTTTTGATCTTCATAATTCATTGATCTTACTATTTCTTTATGTATTGCGAGGTTCGTGATTCTTCGAGTCTCAGAATCTGTTGTTAATTCGATCCACTTTGTTTATCATTTTGCTTTGTTTGTGTTTGATTGGAATTTCTGTCTAGGTTTAATCCGATTGATTCATCCGTTTCATGTTTAATCTCTTTAATTCTGTTTTTGGGTATTAGTTTGCTAAATTGTCTTTACTGATTATACATGTTTTTGCTTGGTTTTAATAGTTGGTTTCTGAGTTTCTCCTTGTTGGTTAATAGTTCAACTAGTAAAGTCTAGTTACATGTTTGTTGTATCTTGGTTTGGTTTGAAACAATTAGGTCGATAGTGATTTGGTCTTTTGGTCTAAAGCTGGAGGGTAATAGTTTAATTATGATTTGAGATACATTAGTGGCTTGCTTTTATGCTGGGGTGGCTGAAAGCATCTTTCTTCCCATGCTTTTACCACATTAGGTTGAGAGGGCTGCCATTTTCCCATTTGGACAGTCCTTAGATTGTTTTTGGCACAAAAAGTAAGTCCCTTTGGACACAATTTTAGGTGAACTAAAATATGTCCAAAAAGAACTTTCTTCTCCTACTTAAGCATACCATATTCCACACTTTAGGACACACTTTACATAACTTTGGAGAAGAAAAAAAAAAGAATTAGTTGAACACATACTTTGAGAGGTAAAAAAAATACAATCTTGAGAGAAAAATATCAACTGACTATAAAAAAGAAGCTGAAAATTGAGAGCCTTGTATGTAGTATTCTGAGTGTAAACTCTTTCAAAAAATAGGAGAGTCTTTAGAGTTGGTTCTTAGTTTCACATGGTTAACTACTGAAAGTTTCTTGTTGTTTGACATTGATTTGCTATTGTTTTTGCTGCATGTTCTGAGCTTCATTTTATTCACTACATATTTTTATTTTTCAGCGAACCAAGTAACTCCCTAAATCTTTTGTATTGCAGATTTTTAACAAAGTTGGAATTCTCAAGCCATTGGGAATGAAAATCCCATATTAGACGACACTCGAGAATTCTAGGGATGCAAAAAAAAGAGGGCTTCAAGAACGATCTAATAAATTAGTCTTTTAAAGTCAAATTTTAATAAGAGATTTAAATTTTTAAATAGAGTTTATATATGTTTAACACAATTTGCAAAAAATTAGTGTTTTGTTTTTTTCTTATATTCATTGTTTATAGTGTAATATGCTTACAAGATATAAAATCTTTAATGTTATATTGGCAAGCGTTAACTCTAAGTTAATAAGATGTTAGCCATGTGTTTGTGATATATTATCTTGGATCTCATTATAAAGAAAATTATTTACGAATACAAAGAAGTTTAATTCAAAGTTCTAAAATATGCTATCGTTAAAAAGTATGCATTCTTTCTTTCCTTCTTGTTTAATAAAAATTTCATATACTTCTTTTCTAGCTAAATAATATTGTCTAAATGAAAATAAAGTTTAAAATCCACTAATTAAAATTTTACAAATCTTCACAAATAAGGCATATCTTTTATCGAAATCTCGCCTTTCACTAAATCTTCAAAGAGAATGTAAAATTTGTTGCACGAAACATTTCACATTTTAGTATCAATTTTTGTTCTGGCATTAGAAGATTTTGTTAATTTTCTTAACTAGTTTTTAGAGACGTGCGTTGCACATATATTCTATGCCAATGGGTACAAATATTTTAAAAATAATTTTATTACATTACAGTATATATGTGAGTTATAAGTAACACAAAATATTGAATGCAAAATGATTAACACTACTAGAAATCCGCTGAACACCGACTAAAAAAACCGACCAAAGTTGGTCGGTTTTTTTAATTATGTAATCAAAAGATTCACCATCTAGGAATCGAACCGGGGTTTGTACTGTGGCAGGATACTATTCTACCACTAGACCATTGGTGCATTTTGTTTTAAGACTGTCTTTTATTTGATTTATACTCTTTAATTGTATTTTCGCACGAAAATAACCGATCAAAATTGGTCGGTTTTTTAAAATGACCGGCCGAATTAACCGACCAAAAATTGATCTGTTTTTTTAACGGAAAAGGGCCAAGAATGCCCTTAACGTATTAGAAATGGCTCAAAAATGCCCTCCTTCCACCTATGAGTTCAAATTTTCTCTTAATGTTATTTTTAGGCTTAAAAATACCCCCTCTTAACGAAAAGATGACATGGCATTGATGGATATTTTAATTAAATATGTAGTATTTATTTAGTCCGTAAAAAAGTGATTTTTTTTTTACTAAAAACGGAAAAAAACGAAAATATTTTTTTTTCAGTTTTTTAAAAAAAATGCTTTAAAAAGAGCTGAAAAATATTTTCTAAAACAATATTTTTGTAAAAACTGGAAAAAAAATTAAAAAGTAATTTTCTAAAGCAATATTTTTGTAAAAGCTGAAAAAGAAGAAGAAATATTATTTTTTTACTAAAAACGAAAATATTTTTTTCCAGTTTTTACAAAAAAAACTGCTTTTAAAAAAAGCTGAAAAATATTTTTTGAAACAATATTTTTGTAAAAACTTAAAAAAAATACTGAAAAGCAATTTTCTAAAGCAATATTTTTGTAAAAGCTGAAAAAGAAGAGGAATTTGTTTTTTTACTAAAAACTGGAAAAAAAAAACGAAAATATTTTTTTTTCCAGTTTTTTTAGAAAAGAACTGCTTTAAAAAAAGTTGAAAAATATTTTCTGAAATAATATTTTTGTAAAAACTTAAACAAATAGTGAAAAATAATTTTCTAAAGCAAAAAAAAAAGGAAATATTTTTCAGCTTTTACAAAATATTGCTTTATAAAATTGCTTTTCAGTTTTTTTTTTCAATTGTTTTAGAAAATATTTTTCAGCTTTTTTTAAAAGCAGTTTTTTTGTAAAAACAGAAAAATAATATTTTTATTTTTTTCAGTTTTTAGTAAAAAAAATATATTTCCTCTTCTTTTTCAGCTTTTACAAAAACATTGGTTTAGAAAATTATTTTTCAGTTTGTTTTTCAGTTTTTACAAAAATATTGTTTTAGAAAATATTTTTCAGCTTTTTTTAAAGCAGTTTTTTTGTAAAAACTGGAAAACAATAATTTCGTTTTTTTCATTTTTTAGTAAAAAAAAATTATATTTTTCCAGACTAAATAAATATTACATGTTTAATGAAAATGTCCATCAATGTCACGTAATCTTTCCGTTAAGAGAGGGGCATTTTTAAGCCTAAAAATAACATTAAGGGCAAATTTGAACCCACAGGTGGAAGGAGGGCATTTTTGAGTCATTTTTAATACGTTAAGGGCATTCTTGGCCCTTTTTCATTTTTTAAATATTAATTTTTATTTATTTTAATTGAAAAACAAACCAAAGTTGGTCGGTTTCTTGAAAAATAATTTCGCGGGACTCAAAAATAGTTTCTCGCATTTTTGCGCCAAAGAAAACCGACCAAAGTTGGTCAGTTTCGTAAAAAAAAAATTAAAAATAAAATATTTTGAAAAACCGACCAACTTTGGTCGGTTTTTTGGCCGGTTTTTTGACCGACCAAAGTTGGTCTTGATCGGTTTTTGCCGAATTTCTAGTATTGTAAACATCTTCAAAGCCTGTGAAGCTGAACAACTACCTTTAGTTAGATCAGTATAACGTAACAATGTATAATGAAATTAATGTGGATGTTATTAGGTCCAAACATGTAATATGATCGTATCTCACCTAATACTTTTTTATTAACGATGTCTTGATATATATATA